TCAGTATCACTAGTGACAGGAAATAAACTAGCTAAGAAAATGTTTACCATTTTCAAAAAAAGAAAATGTTTACCATTTTCAAAAAAAGACAGTATATCTTAACCGATATCTAAACCAAATTTTCTGTAGCTTGACTACACCTTCTTTTTTTTCGTCTGAAATGATAAAATCATTTTCTGTAGTTTTTATTAGTAATTTGTTCATCACATATTTCTCTGCCATTTGCCTACTACGTACAGCCGTCGATCTTGAGAATCTACTATCCAATCCAACAGTCCTTAAAAGTATTGTTCGATAAGTACGTTCCCAATCCCATGCATAGTTAAATTAGTGTTAGACACGTGTCATAACATCAACACGTGTCGAGTTCGAGCTGCCAGCTGTCCAAAATTGTTTCCATAAGTTCGCAACATAGTCACATGTGAAAGAAGAAAGACGAGTCGAAACACAAAACATTTTCAAAAGCCAAATTAAGAAGAAGAAAATTGTGTTCTTTGATTTATTAACATGGCGGCTATGCAACTAACCAGAACTGTTTTTTTCGGTCTCTCAAAGGCTTTCCCTAAAAGCCGATCTCCGACAACTCTTGCGGTGGTGATTGGTCGTAAAAGCTCTCGTGTCTTTTTCGCCTCATCGGTTGACCATAATTCCAAGGTAATTTATATATGCATGTAAAACCAAATCGATGCATAACTGGTTTTTAAGCGTGTGTGAATATATTCCGATTTTTATAACTATTATGTTTTCAGAATATATTTTTTTGGGTTTTATATTTTCAGAGTATTTGAGAATTCCTTACAATGAAATCGTTTGCCTATATGATTTAGGTTGTGTGACAAGAAATTAAATGGAATTACAGTTATGATCATGTTTATATTTTCTTTCAATATATCAAACTTATTTTTGATATAAGATTTACACAAGCACAAGACTCTAAATAGTTTGAGACGATTGCTGATTCAAAGACCTGGTGTTAGGTTAACGTGTGTGATAAGATATCAAGTGGAATTTGAAACGTTTTAGGAATGATCAATGGTTCTGGCCTTGCAGGGAAGATATGATGCTGTAGAGAAATCGAGAGACTCGAGGGCCGATTTGGCCTATGATTCGAAGAAATGGAGAGAAGAATCCGGTGAATACGCAGAAGCCGGCAAAGGTAAAGCCTACGAGACGAAAGAGAATGCTAGGGACAGAGCTTATGATATGAAAGAGAAGACCAAAGATTACGCGGAACAAACTAAAGATAAAGTGAATGAAGGAGCGAGCAGAGCAGCTGATAAAGCGTCCGAGACAAAAGAGAATGCTAAGGACAAAGCTCATGACATGAAAGAGAAGGCGAAAGATTATGCGGAACAGACTAAAGATAAAGTGAATGAAGGAGCGAGCAGAGCAGCTGATAAAGCCTACGAGACAAAAGAGGACGCTAAGGACAAAGCTTATGACATGAAAGAGAAGACAAAAGATTATGCGGAACAAACCAAGGATAAAGTGAACAAAGGAGCGAGTAGAGCAGCTGATAAAGCCTACGAGACTAAAGAGAATGCTAAGGAAAAAGCTTATGACATGAAAGAGAAGACGAAAGATTATGCTGAACAAACTAAGGATAAAGTGAATGAAGGAGCGAGCAGAGCAGCTGATAAAGCCTATGAGACAAAAGAAAAGGCTAAGGACAAAGCTTATGATGTGAAAGAGAAGACGAAAGATTATGCGGAAAAGACCAAGGATAAGGTGAATGAAGGAGCGTCTAGAGCTGCGGATAAAGCGGAAGAGACGAAAGACAAAGCCAAGGAATATGCAGAGGACTCAAAGGAGAGAGCAGAGGATATGGCTCATGGGTTTAAGGAAAAGGCTCAAGATGTTGGGGAGAAGACTATGGAGACTGTGAAAGAGGTGTGGGAGTCGGCGAAGAGCACGGCTCAGAAGGTGACTGAGGCGGTGGTTGGGTCCGGTGAGGAAGCGGATAGGACCCGGGATGATGTTGATAAGGGCTTGGAAGATTTATCGAAAACTGCAAAGGAAAGCCGGAAAGAAGATGATGATTTCAAGAGGTTCTAGATACACTAAGCAGCTGTTTGTTTTTACTAGTTAAGAGTGTTCTTCTGTGTGTTTAAAATGCTTTTGTTTCAGAACTTTTGACAACGAGTTTTCAGATTTTTACAGCAGTCACCCTTTTAGTTTTGAGATTGATATGTGATCGTCAAAGTCATAATCAATTTGACTGTTTTCTTCACACCCAAGCAAAGAGCCTTCAGGTGCTCTCTGTTTCCTCTGTTTTGCTAGAATTGAGACTCATTTGAAATTTAGCATTTGACGTTTTTTTTTTAAT